CTTCTATTGAGGAGGGGGAGTTCGTTCTTGAACTTGTGGACATGCAGTCATCACTGTCACTGCCTGAAGAGGATTAAGTTTTGGAGTAACATAAATGTTCACCAGTTCCCAAACCTTAAGAAAGTGGCTGTTACTGTGCTTAGTAATATATTATATAATAACAATAATAATCCACATGAACCCCGCTACTTGGTATCGGTATCGGTGAGTACCTAAACTGAAGTACTCATACTTGGGCTCAGTCTTGAAAAAACTGGTATCAGGACACCCCTATTTTAAACCTTAATAAAAAATCGATACAGGACTTTAGAATATCGATACAGTATCGGGAAATGAAATATCGCAATATTTCAGTGTATCGATATTTTTTACACCCCTATTAAATAATGCTTCAAAATACAACTTCAAAATCCAAAAACACTTTAGTCAAAATTACTGCACTCCATGCAGTCCTTTGAGATATGAATATTGCGCACGCTGATATTGCGATGATGATATTTCTGCGATATATTGTGGAATCAAAACCTGTGGAATAATTTCTTAGACAAGTTAGACCAAAGTAAATCTACATTTGTGTAGATTCTGTCATCCAGGACATGATGAATCCTAAAGGTTTGAAACAAAGCAATGTGATTTTTTTTAATTTTGTCACATAGAGATGTTTTACTATAACAAACAGAAGTATTGATCTTTTTACAATTACTAAAGCTGAAAGTCATTTTTTTGCCATGCATTGTGGTCTCGATACATTCACACCTACTTCTGGTTTGTTGAAAGACTCTCAGTCTAAGCAGGGTTCATGTCTACATGTTTCAGCTGCAGCATCACACGCTGATATTTTTCTTATCCCAATGGGAAATACCAACAAAGGTTTAATTGTTTATAAAATTCAGTAGAGAAGCAGGAAATTATGGTGAGTGGTTTTACACATTAGTAGCTGTAAAAGGGTTATTGATTGGAAYAACAAAACAAGAAGTCAGCATGGTGGTGGAAGWGTGATGATTTGAACTTTGGCACTCATTGGATCCACCATGACCTCCTCTGTAGACCAGAATCATCAGGTCGGTCAGGTTTCTGATTCCTCTCAGTTCTGATATTCTCCACCTTCTTCTTATCCTCCCTTTGTTTTTCTCTCCAGACCAACTTTGAGTCTCTGTTCCGTTCCTTCGACCCAGAGGTGCAGTTCCACTACTTCCGGTCTTTCCGGCGGGTTCGGATCAGCTTCAGTGATGCCCTGGCTGCTGCTGAGGCCAGACTCCGGCTGCACAAGACTGAATTTAATGGCAAAGAGATGAGACTCTACTTTGCTCAGGTAACATTAGTAACTGATTTTCTTCTGCGCCTTTAGTTCAGCTGACTTTTGTCTGCTGTTGATTCACATGACCTAGATCAGTGGTTCCCAAACTTTTTATCTTCTGWCCCACAAAAAATTCATGGCAAAAACTTGYGACCCCAAATATTACTGGTCTGAGTACATGAACTTCTTAAATAACCCTAAAAACACAGGCTTTTGGACAATCTAAACAGCTTGTACACAAATATAAATACTTATTTTTGTAATAATTATAGAGAAAATATTACATCAGCAATTATTTTATTACCCTTTAAATTAATTTCTGGAGATTATCCAAGGTGCTTCATGACCC